GACCGCATCCCATGCTCTACGGAGCCGCCCAGGCGCGACCCTATTGTCCCAGATGAACGAAGCAAACCTAACCACCAGAGGAACCGTCGCATCAAAAATGGAATCGAACCTGTCGTCTCGCTGCGTTGCTAAAAACAGAGTGAGCGACGCCTTGGGCTTGGCCCCGCACATGCCTCCAGCGAACGTTCGAAGCTTTCGAATAGCCGTGCCGGATATCCCAGACACTCCAGCGCCATGGCCGCCAGCTGGGAGGAGCCCCGCCCTCCACAAAGATTTCACGGCCTCCCCCGCGGCGTGCTTCAATCCCCACACTTTGCGCCTACGAGCCGTGAGATTCTTAAGACGCGTCTTTTCTTGCACACGCAAGACCCTAGTGCCGTGCATCTCGTGCCCTAAATTGCGCATCGCTCGCTTCGCTCTCATACGAAGAAGCTTGACTAATCGAGCGAATCTATATCGACCTCGAGTCGTGTTCGCAACGAACCCTGACTTGCTCGGCTGGACTACTAACCCTAGCGGCCTCACGCTAAGGCAAAAGCTGTGAACTGCATTGGCCAAGTCTCTGGCCTGACCGTCGTGCTCTCCCACCCTGGCCCGTTCACCAGTCCAGTGGAAGCTCACGTCATCGATCAGAGATCGTGGCTTGACCGTGGGGCATATAGTCATGCTATCCTGCAGGCTTCTATGCAAAAGGACCCGAAGCATTGTAGTGGCCAAAGAACAGCCTGCTAGGATTCCCTGATTGGAATGCACTGGCACAGGCAGCGAAGCAAAGGCACGCAGGCAGCGAGGTTGCAAGTATGTCTGGATCGTCATCCATGCTAATCTCATCGGGAACTGATTCAGCCTAGCCTCGTGAAGCAGGCTCTGCAAAATGACAGTCTCATAGCATTTCAGCATATCGATAAAGACTGTGAGGCTGTCCTCTCCTATCCCGCGCGCTATCTCAGCATCAAGATTCAAAGAAAACGCGCTGTCCGAGCTCGACCTACCAGCTCCCGCCCCCCAGAAACATTCGAGGTCATGCTCGACCTCCCAGGCGGCCGCCATGGGCCTGCGGGCTCTACCCCAGACTCTCAGAAGCGTGTTCAAGAGCGCTATCAATCTGCATCCCCCTGACGCCTTGGGGAGGCGAACTGGCTGCGTCAGCAGTCTACAAGATGGCCAGATCAAGAGACTTTCACACTTCATGAATAGCTTGGCAACGGCCGCCAGGCCTGAATTGCTCAGGAAAATAAGACTGCGGGGTGCGAAGCTAAACTGGCCGACTCCCGTCGCCCATGGAAACTGAAGAATGGCGCGCTGCACGTCTAGCACAGTCAAAGGTGGGAGCTCTTCCCAGTCCTGCGCTTCTGCTGGCAACTGTGGGGCGGCAACATCATGCATCGTCCAGATATTGTCCCACTCCCGCATGGCCTTATCGGCTAACTGATGCGGCTGGGCCGGCGTGCGAGCAGTCACATTTGCATTAACCACCTCCTGCAACGCCCTCCCCCTCGTGTGCCTATGCGCGAAACGCGCACCATTAATGAAGCTAGCTGCCGCCCAGTCCCTCCAGGCTTTGGCGGTCTTCTGGCTGCGTGCCTCAGCAAGCTCCGCTGCTTTGGCTTCGATCGCATCTAGCACTGCATCGAATTCTGGATAGACAAGGAACTCCATTCCTGAAAGAAAAACGTCAGACGCCCAGCTGTCGAGCTCGCTAAGCACGGCCGTCTCGGACAACACCTTCGCCACGAAACGGCCAAGCTCAATCATCAAGTTCGACAGCTTGTGATAAAGGGGTGTGTCCAACGTGCCTGTCTCTTGCTGGTGACTCACCAACGCCGTGACGTTGGTGATCGCTTCCTTCGCCCCACGCATATGTCGTGCCCACCTGGCCGCGACACTCCACGCATTGGCTGCTTTCGACAAGTATGAACGTTTCTGTTGCGGTTGCCACTGCAGCTTGACCTTCTCGAACTCGACGGGGCCACATGCTCCGACGAACGGCTCGACCTTGGCACCAGCGATGTCATGCCTGGCAAGCAGCTCCAGTTCGATGTGGCTCAACACTGCATCCCATGCCACTTGCAAACTGCTATCGTCACACGCGGCATCTATAAGACGTGCCACTCCATGCCAACATAATGGGAACCTCGAACATCCTGGTCTCGGCTGCTTGGGCACAGAACGCGGCCCACGAAGTTCACGATGATACAACTGGATGTCCTTACCACTGATAGGCATGTACACAGGCAAGTGTGGGAAAGTGGTAGTCGCTTCCTGTACGCACGGCTGCCCAACACGTGTCACCAAGTTAGACGATGTGAGGAACTAGTCGATGCAACTACCAGGCATAGCTTGTCGACATGCGGTCGCAACTGGAGCCCGAAGCATACCGCCAAGCCCGTGCAGCCACCGCATATCACCAAACTGCGACGCTTCAATATTGAAATCTCCTGCCACAATCCAATCGTAGCCAGCATGATTCAATTTTTCCAAATAACTGCTAACCTCTTGCATGATGTGTAGGTTATTGTCTGACCAACCCTCATTGACGCACATATACACTGAGACCAGCACCACTCCTCCAGGAACTCCCCAGTGGACTTGGGCAGGCAACGCTCGACCACCAGCCAGCTCGGTCTGCCCGTTCAGGCGCGGCCCACGCGTTATCAGGACGTTCGGCCTCGCCAATACAGCTAGCCCTGCCTGCGTGCCGCCATTGCCCAGTGGGGTTAGCTGCTGCCCACATGCCTTGCCAGCCCGCGCCCAGCAAACGGTGCTGCGCATCAGCCAGATCATTAGGAGCAACATGGTGTTCTTGCACCGCGACCACTGTGTGACTGCAGTGCACCATGTACTCGAGCAGCTGCTTCCCGGACGAACAATTCAACGTCGCGATGCTGCCCTTGCTACCAGCCTGCTCTGTGGCCAAGGCCCCACTCGGGGCTGCGCTCCGTCCGTCGACGGCCCGAGTGGGCCCAGGGGCGAGAGGCGAGGCATCGACCACCCGCGCGTCCGCGGCTCGCCTAGCTCGCCCCTTGCCACGGCCTTTGGCCACTAGGCCTCCAGCGCCATGGCTTGGCCCGTCCAGCTCAGCACCATGTCGGGGCCTGGAGTCAAGCGGCCGCGGACCCGCCTGGGCCGCGGCAGCCCTCCCGCTCGGGGCGCTACGTCCGTCGACGTCTCGAGCAGGAGGTCGGACGTGGGACGAGGCGTCGGCCACCCGCGCGTCCGCGGCTCGTCCTCCCAGTCCCTTGCCACGGCCCTTGGCTCTGCCGCCGCCGCTCCGACCCAGGCAGCGCGCCCTGGCCACCACATCAGCAGCTCCACTGCCGCCAGGCTCCTGGAACAGTGGATTCGCAGCAAGCGACCCTGCTACCGTGCCCAGCGACGTCATGGCACCCACTGTTCGAACCAGAGCCATCAACCATACAAACAGAGTACGTGCCGAGAAGTGCGCAGAGCAACAACGTGTGTGTGCCGAAGGCCGTCCCTCCCTAGGCGGGGACCTGGACCTTGGCTCGCTTCTCGGTTCAGGCCCTGGACCTTGGACCATTCATTGAGCCCTTCGGCCAACTTGCGAACGCTCCCACGGATCGCTGCCTCATCGGCCTCAGGCTGCACCGCGACACCAGCGCCCCAGAAAAGCTCGCAGCTCCTCCAGGTCCGTGTCGTCTGGTGTTGGTACGTCGACTCCCCCAGGCTCAGACCTGGCATCGTCAGGTGGGGCGGCCCCCCGCTGCGGCTCAGTCTTCTCCTGCTGTGCTGCCTCGGGTACCGCCCGCCCCTGTCGCTTACGTTCCTCAAGTACCCGCACCTCTTCCAAGGCCGAGTCCAATTTCGCTTGCAATTGACCGTCGTCTCCGAGTCCTGCCAAGATGCCTCCAAGCGTGTCGACCGTGATGCCAAGGGCGGCCACAAGCTCGCCCGCCTCAGTGGAGGACGGTGGAGGCCTCGGCACCGTAGACGCCAGCCTAGTTTGTTCCTCTGCAATCTGCAAGATGGCCTGCTCGGCCTCGACCACCAACTGCTCCTGCTCGCGGATGGTCTCCTGCAGCTTCTGCAACTCCTGCTTGGCGGCTGCCAACAGGCCCTCGTGTTTGACCTTCTTGGAATTCCACTTAGCCGACTGGAATGACAACGATCGCAGCTGCGCAGGCACTGGCTTGGACGCCTCCAAGTCCACCCGCAGCCGCTTACGCTCCGCCTCAAAGTCCTCTCTGGCCTTCTCGAAGCAGGGGTCCTTGAGATCTTTGATAGCCCGCATGGCCTCATCGATCTCGTCAAGGCGAACTCGGATCTGAGCGGTAGTCTGCGGCGGCAGCTCACCGCTCTCCACGTCGACCTCCATTGCGTTGCTCTCTGTCTTCCCACCGGTGGCCAGCTGCTGCCGCGCCGCCGCCAGCTGCTTCTCCAGCTCCGCGAGCTTGCGTGCATGCCATGGCGGCGGCGGCTCGGCAGAGGCCACACGGTCGGCACGCTGCTGCTTCTGCGACGGCGCCGTGTGCTTGAACCGAGGCTCCAGGAAGGAAGAGGCCTTGGCGACACCACATTTCTGACATGACACTTTGTCCGATCTGTTCCACCAAGCCGCGCCTGACACAGGGTGGACGCACCAGCGGCATACCCAATCCGTCGCATCAGCACGACGTTTCTGGGCGTGCCTGCTCGTCTTCGGGGCCCGTCCATCACCCTGAGACATCCGCCCTCGCAGGCTGCAAAGTGATGTAACTGGTAACTGCTGAAGGGAACTTACGGTCCCGATGTAGCACGTGTAAGAGGTACCTCCAGCCTGGGCAGGCAGAGAGGAGGTACGGAAGCCTTCGGGGGCCGCTGCTCCCCCACGCCAAAATACTCAGTCCTTGAGTGAAACACTACGGACTTGAGCCAAAATGGCTACGGACGAGTCTTAGGAGGAGGGAGGGAGGAGGAGGAGGGAGGAGGAGGAGGGAGGAGCGGGATGCAGCCGCGCGGGGAGGCAAGGACCGGGCCCTCGGGCGGCAGAGAGCGGAGGCCTTGTGGCCCATGCGGCCGTTCTCGTGCGGCACGGAGCCTGCGCCCCGAAGGGCGGGGCGCGGGGGGCCCGCGAGGGGGCCGACCCTAACCAGCCTCGAACCTATCCCTATCCCTAAGATGGGCGAGCATCAAAAATTGGGCGCCCGAGTTATCCGGGGTAACTCGGGTCCGGGGTAACTCGGGTTTGGATTCCCGAAAAAAGGAACCCGAGTTAGCCCTGACCCGAGTTAGCCCTGACCCGAGTTACCCCTGATGATTCGGGGCTCTGACTATCCCTTAGAGGGGCGAGCATCAAAAATGAGGACAGTCTCAGGGACGTGCCCTCAGAAATGGAGGGAGTCCTCGAGATCGGCACCGAGGCGAGGCGGTGCCAAACGCAGGGACCGGGAGATGTCTCAAGCTGGTCAGGCGAGGTCGAAGGATCAGAGGATCTAGGATCGATCGAGGTCGAAGGGCCGATCGAGGATCGAGGATCGAGGGGTCGATCGAGGGTGGCTCGAGGGGCGCGGGATGGGGGCCGAGGTACGGCGCCCTCAGATAGTGGCACAGCGTCGCACAGGAGAAGCCCCCCCTGGAGGGAGAAGCCCCCCCAACAAAAAACAGCCACAAAAAATCCTCCTCCTCCTCCTTTTCCTCCTCCTTCTCCGCCTCCTCCTCCTCCTCCTCCTCCTCCGCTTCCTCCCCCCACTCCTAGCCCTTTCACTCAGGGTCGGCGGCACCGGCCGTCAGGCCTCTCCAATAGTGGCACAGCTTCGCATAGGGGAAGCCACCCCTGTAGGGAGAAGCCCCCCCAACAAAAAACAACCCAAAGAACTCTCCTGACCCGCTCAGCCAACCCTTGGTAGGGGACATCGTTCCGTTCCGTGTGTGGGCAGCACCCCGCAGTCGCGGATCAGAGTGAAAGGGCGGGCGCGGGTTGGGTCGCGGGTGGGCGAGTCGGGGGCGGGGTCGCGGGTGGGTGGGTCGCGGTGAATCACGGGTGGGTCGCGGGCGGATCGCGGGTGGGTCACGGGCCGGGTCGCGAGTGGGACGACGACAACAACAACGCAACGCAACGCAACAACAATCCGCACCGAGGAACCCCACTTCAGCCACCAACCCAGGGAAATTGAATGACAGTTCGGCCCCCTCACTCTGACATGTTGATGTGCAACCAACCCATATCATAAGGATGCACGATGAGGATGCAAGGGCCTGGGAAGGCCATGTTGACACGGTGCGGCCGGGGCGCATCCAGCGAAAGCGGCCAAGGATGGGCCTAGGAGACAAGGATGCAAGGGTACCCTTGGGAAGGTTCCCCATCCTTACTATGCGGGTCGAATGTCTTTGCTACCATACGTGAATATAGCTTGTGCATGTGATGAACAAAGGCATTGGATAAGGAACTGTTCGGCGGCGCGCCCAGGGGGGAGTGACGAGGGGCCTTCTCAGAAGGCTCGGGAGTCCCCCGGTCTCCTGAAAAGTCTCCTAAGCCTTCCACGAAGACACAGAAGTCGTCTCAGAAGGCGCCAGAGCTCCTGAGAAGCCCCGCCGCCTTCTGAGAAGGCCTTCTCCTTCTCACTTCCCCCCCGCGCTCGCCGCCGACCTATTGGATCAGGGATCCAGGGTCTGGAAGCTGGCGGAACTCCAATCGTGGACTGACGACGGACATCACCTCCTGCAGCCCACCGCCCCCCTCTGGGGAAGGCCCCCCCCTCCTCAACGAGGCCTCTTGTCGGAGGACATGGTCTAGGCTCGGGGACCTCTGTTGGAGGCCTTCGTCGGAGGCCTTCGTCGTCGGACTGGGAGCAGCGGAGGACGCACTGGAGAGGTACAGCAAACAAGGAAGCGGATGAGGAGAGAGAGAGAGAGAGAGAGCAGGAAGAGGAGGAGGAGGAGGTTCAGGATCGAGAGTTGGGATGGCAAGACACGACAAGGCGGGGCGCTGGGAGAGACGGGGGGCGGGTAGGGGAGGTGGGAAGAGCACGAGAGAAGTCAGCAGCCCCAAAGTCCCTCTGGGTCTTCAATCGAGCCAGTAAGGGGTTACATATTGAAGATTCATTGGTCCAATGGGCTCGTGAATTCGCTGGACGCATCCAGTCACAACGAGCAGAGGCCCCATGTGGAACCGGCCACCATCTGCGAAAGAATAGTTCCATTCCCTTAGAGACGTTCATCCACCGCCATCGGATTCAATCGAACCTGCACCTTCGGGTGCTGACCATCTGGACGATCCCTTCGAAGAACACACAGCTGCGTAAGTCGAAAATCTCGGCGCTCCGCGCAAATGTCTCGTATCGGCGATGGGCCCCCCCGAGCGGCGCCTCCGAAGGCGCCGCTGGGGTGGGGCTCAGCGCCGATCCAAGAAATCCGGGCGAAGCCCCGAAAGTGTAGGGTTGTGCCTCCTCGACGAACTCTCACGAGGTGACAGATCCAGCTCGGGCCGAGGCACCGCTGAATGCAAAGTTCGCGTTCTCCTGTATGTCGAAGATCACAGCGAACTCCTGCGCGTGCGCCTCCTCCAGCCTGAGCCGTGGGTGCGGGCCGAGCGGTCGGGTGCGCCGTGGGTGCCGCGGCAACTGCAGCGAGACCAAATCGGAAGAACACGCCAAGGCCGCGGAGCCGCCTGGGGGTCTGAGGTGGCCCAGCACTGCTTCCGACCGGCACGAAGGGCGGGCAAGCTCGAGGTTCTGGGGTCGAAGAGGTTGTTTGCCATGTTCGGCTGCTGGGGGCCGTTCCCGGGCCCTGGGCCCGTGAGAGATCGACCTGGGCAAAAAACCTGTACCAGACGGACCCCAAGGTGCGGGGGCCGCATTTGAGCGGATTTGGTCTCATCTCCCCTTCCTGCCCGATGCTCTGGGGTCCCAACCGTGTCAGACCCCTGGGACGCCAGGGCCCAGCTTGATGCCGAGGTCGGAAGGCCGTGGGCCGCAGCCGAGGGTCACGCCGGGGCGAGGGGCACAGGCGCGGGGCATCCTCTGTTTGAGGAGCACGTCGAATAATAAACCTACTTTCTCGACAGTCCAGGCGGATGTCTTGGATAACGCGCTGAACCCCCCCCCTCCCTCTCCGGCGGAGCGCGGCAGGGGCGGCGCCGGAGGCGCCGCCAGCGGGGCCGAGCCCAGCCAGGTCCAAGAGATCCGCGCGGACCTCCGAGATAGCATGCTTACGCTCTGTCCTTCGACGCGGAAAGCACGAAAAGCGGGGCCCAGCCCACAAGAAACCTTCCACAAGAAACCCAACCCTGAGACCACAGGACGTCCATTGATTTTTGGTGTGGGAACGTCACGCTTTCCATCGCAAAACCATCGAAACCCAAGAAACCCAGGGGCACCCTGGAGGCAAGCAGGGTGTTTCTTGGCATGGGCCCCCACTGCAGGTAGGAACATGGAGTAGGAAGGCTGTGAAAGTAGATTGGGCCTCCGCGCGCCCCCCGAGAGGAGGGAAACGGTGAAGCCACTCGATCATTGAAGTAGGCAAGAGCTTAAAGTAATTAGAGTGGAATATGGGAATTCCTGAGCATTTTCTTAGGGTGGAGGGCTCAGGGTGAAATCCATATGGGCTTCTGCACCTCGAAACTCAATCCGACTTGTCATTCACCTTTTGCAGAGTCAAGCCTCGAACATCCGTCGAAACGGCATTCCAGATTTCACCCTTTGCCCTCTACCCAGAGAAAATGCTCGGACTTCACTGGGAAACCAAAAAGTACCGATACCGCCACACCCCCTCGACCTCTCCTGGGGTGCGTTCTGACCAGGATTTCGAGGCGAACCCAGCGGTGGCAGCGTGGGCCTCCCAGGAGGCCCCAGAAAGGGGAAGACGAGGGAAGGGTAGAGGTAGGGGTACCCTCTCCTCCTCGGAAGAATACCTACTTGCAACGACCTGCTTTCAACGACCGATTGAATCTGGGAGTCCAAAACAATGGACGGACAAGGGGAGGAGGAGGCGAAGAAGGAGGAGGAGGAGGAGAGGGAGGAGGACTCCGTAGCCATTTTGGCTCAAGCCAGCTCGCGCGCGGGTTCCGCCCGGCGTGCTCTCATGGCTGCGGGGGGCTGCCCGCCAGCATGGCGGCCCACTGGGACACGGGCCCGCGAGGCCCAGGAGAAGGGAGCCTCGGCGGCCCGGCGAGCGGCCCGGATGCGCTGCCGGCTGGCCTGCGAGGCGGGCCTCCGCCGGGCCCTCGGCAGCCGCGACAGCGCGCCGGGGTCCTGGCGGGATCGCGAGGCCGCCTCGCGCCCGGCCCTGCAGTGCCCGGCCGAGGGGCGGCCCCTCCCAGGCGGCGCGCGCAGGCGCCGCAACGCCGCCCGGCACGCGGCACGCGCGCCCGCGACGGGCTTCGCGGCCGCCACCGCAGGTGACATCGCCCTGGCCGCAGGTCGACCTCGGCTGGGCCACGGCGGCAGCAGGCCGCGGGCCGAGGCCAACAGCACGGGCGCCGACACGAAGCACGACCAGCAGCAGTACGCCAAGTACATAGCCATCCAGGTGCCGCAGGCGCACTGCTGGACCACCCCATCTCCAGGGGTCGCCTGTCCCTCGGCCGACCGCCTCCGACAGGTCGCGGAGGAGGCCGCGCATGCTGCCACGGCGCGCCGCGGCGCCGGCCACGCTGGCCACATCGACACGTACGAGGCCCGGCGGATCGGCGGCCACACCGACACCTACGAGGCCCAGAAGACCGACGGCCACGCGAAGCAGTACGAGGCCCAGCGGATCGGCGACCAAGTCGACACGTACGAGGCCCAGCGGACCAACGGCCACAAGAAACAGGACACGTACGAGGCCCAGTTGATCGGCGACCACGTCGACACGTACGAGGCCCAGAGGATCAGCGAACACGTCGACGCGTTCGAGGCCCAGCGGATCGGCGACCACGTCGACACGCACGAGGCCCTGCGGATCAACGGCCACGAGAAGGGCTACGAGAAGAGCTACGGGAAGAGCTACGGGAGCAACGAGAGCTACGGGAAGAGCTACGATAACTACGGGAGGAGCTACGGGAGCAACGAGAACTACGGGAGCAACGAGAGCTACGAGAAGGGCTACGAGAAGAGCTACGGGAAGAGCTACGGGGGCAACGAGAGCTACGGGAGCGACTTCGAGGAGGGCTACGAGAAGAGCTACGGGCGCAACGGGAGCGTCTCCGAGGCTGCCCTCGGGAGCTGCGAGAAGAGCTACGGGAGCTACGGGAGCGAGTCCGAGGAGGGCGATACGGACGATCAGGATGACGATCCCGAGCACGAGGAGGAGAGTACCAATAGGAGGACCCAGTTGTTGCCGACGACGACGGACGAGAAGGACTCAGACGGCCCAGCCGACGACGACTCCGACCAGGAGGACTCTGACAGCGACGCCGACCACGACGCCACGCCTCAGGACACCATGTCCGACGGCGTGCCCCAGGAGACCCGTGACCCTCGAAGACCCCCGCCCCCCCCCTCGACGCCCCAAGCCTCACGACACGCGGCTCCCTTCGACGACCCCACGACGCCCTTCGACGCCCCTCCCCCGACGATCCTTCCCCGACGACCCCGCCCAACGACCAAGAGGCCCCACGACCCCCGACCTCCGAACGACACCCCAATGGCATGCCGCAGCCACTGCACCACTCCAGGCGGCGGGAATCGTTCTCCCCAACGCCGCCGCCTTCGCCTCCATGGCCGCCTCCAAGGCCGCCATGGAGCATTCGCCTCCCATCTCCGCCCGAATCGAGGCGATCCTGGCCGGCGTCGACGTGCGAGCTGACGGCGAGAACGAGGAGAAGATCGTGCAGGAGGACGCTGGAGTACGCAGAAGGAAGACCAGCAGCCCCAGGACTACTCCCACGAGGAGGACTCCGACGGCTGCCACCACACCAACCCCTACGACCAAGAAGGTGCGCTTCATCCTCGAGGCCGTGCCCGACCCCCGAGAGGACGAGATCGATCCCGATGACCCTGATGGCCCAGCCGACCACGGCGACGCCACCAGAAACACCACGCCCCAGGAGAGCGTCTCCGACGGCGTGCCCCAACACCAGTCTGGCGGCCAAGCCTCCACCCCGCGCCGACGGGAACCAGCAGCACACCTACGGGAACCAGCACACCCCCGAGAACCAGCAGCACACCAACGGGAACCAGCAGAGCACCCGGCACCAGCAGAGCATCGGGCACCAGCAGGGCTTCACGGAGGTAACCAACCTGAACAGCGGCTTCCTCATCGCCATCGCCCCCTCGGGTGGTGAGCGTGCCGCCCTCCTCAGGTGGAGGAGGCTGGCGGCCACCGAGGGGGGGACAAGTTCGTCGCGTTCGGCTACAGCGCCCCGCCGTGGGGCGCTGCGGAGCCCTTATTGAAAGGGTCTTGAAAGAGGAAGGAGGAGGAGGAGGAGGAGGAGGAGGAGGAGGAGGAGGAGGAGAAGGAGAAGGAGAAGGAGAAGGAGAAGGAGAAGGAGAAGGAGGGAGGAGGAGGAGGAGGAGGAGGAGGAGGAGGAGGAGAAGGAGGAGGAGGAGGAGGAGGAGGGAGGAGAAGGAGGAGGAGAAGGAGGAGGAGAAGGTGGAGGAGGAGGAGGAGGAGGGTAGATACGAGCACGGGTCGCCGAGAGAAGGGCGCCCAGCCCACGCGCCGGGGGGCACGCCGACCCCCGCGCGGCGGCTCTCGCAGCCCTCCCTCTGGGCGGCACCCCGCGCGGGGCAGAGGGCGATTTTGCGCGCCGCCGACGCCGTCTGCGCTGGCAGCCTCCACCTGGCAGGAGAGCCCAGCATCGGATCGGCGGACATGGGCAGGCCAGTATGCCTCCAACAAGAAATCGGAACCCAAATTGGAATCCCAAGTCGAATCGAATCGGAATCGGAGCCCATCGAAACCGAATCGAATCGCATCGGAGGAATCGAAACGAGCCCTGACCTGGGGCGAGAACGATGACATCGAGCGATGAGCTCAGGATATGACCCAGGAGCTCTGGGGCATCCAGAGGCCCCCATGACCGGAGGCAGCGGGAAGAACAGGAAACCTGGGGGGTCCCGGAACGCACCATCATGGTCATGGCTTCTGGTTGGAGGCGGCCAGGGATCTGAGCTGGGGATCTGAACTGATTAGGACCACAGAACATCGGTCAGGAGGGGGGATGACGCCAATTCCGTTCAAAATCGGTCCCTGGACCCCTCCCGGCGTCCATCTGGTGTAGTTGTTCACCCAGCATTCGTTTTTGACTGTCCCCGCGCCCTAAAACTGCCCCCAGAGGCCGACAGAGGCACAAAACCGTTGCGAACCCAGAACCTTGAACCTGCCCGCCCTTCTTGCTGCCCAGGACCAGTGCTGGGCCGCTTCAGAAATCCTCAGACGACTCCAAGCTTCTTGCTCCTCCGATCTGCGTGCGAGAGCCCGCGGCGGTCGGCCATCTCTCTCTTGCGCCGCTCGGGCGGGGCAGGCCGGGGGCACCGTGGGCCCGGACCACTCCCAGCAGCACCCGAGCAGTCTACGCAGGCGGCCGAAAGGAGCCCAGGGAGGCACGGCCAAACATACACACCTTGAAGGACTCCCTAGATGTTTGTCCACATGTTCTGGAGTTTCGTCTACCCCGCCGCTTCCCGAATGTGTCCCATGCTGCTGTCCTGGGCATCGATCTTCATTTGTGTGCGTGCCGAATGTTCCCTCTTCATTTGCGCGCGAATGCCAACACGCCAGTCGACAACCTCTCTCTCTTTCTCTCTCTTTCTCTCCTGCGCCGCCAGGGTTATGAGCCAAACCTTCGGGCGGGTGGTGATGGGAGCTTGCCTAAATGGGGGGGTGCAGAAAAAAAGGCCCTCACCTTGGTTGACACAGAGGGGAGTCCAGCTGAAATGGGGGTGGTGCTATAGACTTGGGCAATTGTGTTGCGAATTTATTACGCAGGAGAATAAGATTGCATCGTGTTGCATCTAATGATTGCACGCCCGAATCCAACAATACATCTGCGCACGATAATGTATTATTGCACGCCCCACATGTATTGCAATCCCACAAACATCTTGCACCAGATCTATTGCACCACCCTCTTTTCGATGGACCTTCTATGCGTCAACCACATCAAACTAAATGGGGCCATTTAGGACCCGTGCTGGCTCCAACAGGGAACCGAATGGACCCCTTCAATCAGGGGGACGTAAGACCTGGGTACAAGGGACTCGGAAATCCCCGACGAGGTCGTCAAAAAATGACGAGGCCGAGCCTGCATTTTGACGAGGCCTCCCGCTGCAGACATCCCACGAAACTCCTACTCGTCAAAATCCGAGGCGCGGTCGTCAAAAAACGATGGCGAACCCGAGTCCTGGCAAACCCGGGTCTTACGCTCCCCCGATTCGAGGCCCTGCTCCCCGTCCCCAATGAATTGAGCAGGGGCAACGACCGTCCCGGCAGCCGTATAGGCCTACCACGACATGTTCTCAGAACCAACTAATGCTCCAGAAACAGAACATCAAATTCGTGGAACATAGGCCCGACGTATTACAACAGCACGGTCTCCGCTAGAAGTGTTCTAAAAAAACTCAGTGCAGGCTAGAGAAGACTCTCACTAGAACATTCGTTGATGGGCCCACGTGAGGCAAGCCAGGATGCTCCGCCACTGCCTTTGAATCCAGGTCGCCCCATCCGTTGCCAACCCCCGCCCGAGACCTCTAGGCTCGGAGTCCGGCACGGAGCTCCTGCGAGCTGGTGCGAGGCCCGGGGAGGGCTCAGCGTGGGGGGGGGCGGGTCAACGAGGGAAACGCGTCCTGGACCCTACAGCATTATCATCATCAGCATCAGCATCAGCATCAGCATCAGCATCATCATCATCATCATCATCAGCAGCATCACCATCAGCATCATCATCACCATCATCATCATCATCATCATCATCATCATCATCATAATCATCATCATCATCATCATCACCACCACCACCACCACCACCATCATCATCATCATCATCATCATCATCATCATCATGTTCAGCATCATCATCATCATCATCATCATCAGCATTAGCATCATCATCATCATCAGCATCATCATCATCAGCAGCAGCATCAGCATCATCATGCTCATCATCATCATCATCATCAGCATCCTTATCAGCATCATCATTATCATCAGCAGCATCAGCATCAGCATCTGCATCATCATCATCCACAGCAGCATCAGCATAATCATCAGCATTTTCCTCCTCATGATCATCATCGTCATGATGATCATCATGATCATGGAGATCACCATCATCATCATCATCATCATCATCATCATCATCATCATCATCAACTGCAGTATCATTGTCACCGTCATCAACATCATCATCCTCCTACTCCTACTTCTTCTCCGACTCCTCCTCCTCCTCCTCCTTCCCCTTCTCCTCCTCTGCCCCATCCTCCAGGACGGGGGAGGGGGGGCGGCCATCGCTGTCCGATGCTTTGGGCGAGAGTTGGCTAATGTGTTTTGGGGACCCCATGGACATATTCGGGGCTCGAGCATCGACGTTCGAGGGCGGGACGAGCGGGGGCGGAAGAGGACGACTGGCCTGGGGGAGCGGGCGCTGAGGACACTTGGCCCCGTGGACCCCGGGGCCCCTTCTCCGGGCACGGCCTCTCATGCTGAGAAGCTCTGCATCAAGAGGCCCAGAGGCGCAGCACCTCGAGGACCCCTCTCGGGTCGGGCGGAAGGGGGGATAGCAAAGGGGGGTCTGAGAATCAGCTCACATTGCTGCTTTTCCCGGCGCCTCCCGGCGCCAGGAGCCGCCCATGTTTGAGGAATGGGCCCCTCGGTGGGGCCGAAACCAGCTGCATGCAGCAAATGTCGTAACTCCCCCTTTCCCAATCCCCCCTCTCGTCCGGCCCGACAGGCACGGCCTCTCATGCTGAGGAGCTCTATATCAAGAGGCCCAGAGGCGCAGCACCTCGAGGACCCCTCTGCCCACCCACTTGTACATCCGAAGTGGGTACAGCAAGCATGGGTACGATGCCGAACACCGCAAGGTTGTCCAAAACCGACAGCGGGCACTGTTTGGCAGGCGGCCCTTTGTCTTCGAGGAACAACGCCTGCGGCGGCGCGGACAGCGAGCCGCGAGCCCTGTGCAAAATGAACGGGCACCGCTGTGGGGCATTGTATCCGTTCTTTCCGTACCCATTTCGATCGTCCCAGTCCAAGATCAATGGTGGACAAACCTCCCTTGAGTAGACCTCCCCTTAGTGAAAACGGCCTGGGACCGAAACCGATGGACCTGGACCCGCAAACAGGACGGCCGCGGCGCCCTCTCGCGAACCGAAAACGGCCAATTCCTCAATCGACGCGCCAGGGCAGAAGGTCTGTCCACCCCCGACAAGACGTTGCATTGTCCATGGCGATGGGCTGGAGGAGGTGCCCAGCACCCCCGGCGGACGACCATGCGGAGCGCCGACGGCAACACGGGCAGGCCGGCCGGCGGGGCCCGCCTCATGTGCGAGAACGCGCCCATGCAGAAGAACCAGAGCATCAGCACGGCCCAAATGAGGCCTGCTCGCGCGGGGGGGGGGGGCTGCTGCACGTCGGGAGGTGACGGGGGAAGGGATCCTCACCCTTTCCTGGGCCCTCGAGGACCGAGGTTCGCGGTTTCTCGAGGAAGGAAGTTGTCCCACGTCCTGGGCCTAATTACAATAGGGGCTGGACCACAAGAAACCTTCCACAAGAAACCCATCCCTGAGACCCCAGGACTTCCATTGATGCTTGGTGTGGGAGCGTCGCGCTTTCCATCGCAAAACCATGAAAGTCCAAGAAACCCAGGGCAATCTGGATGCAAGCAAGGAATTTCTTGGCATGGGCCTCCACTGTGAGGCGGGCTCAGGGGGCATCCGGTGGCGTCGGGACAGTTCTGAAAGCCTCCAAGAACCACTAGAGGACTGCCTAGGATCCCTCCATCTGACTCCCCGTCTTCCACTCCCTCCTCGTCCTCCGAATGTTCTCTTTCCAATGTCCACCCCTTCCTCTTTCCTCGATCAGGGGAGCGGAGGCTGTGAATGACGGGGGGCTTTGGGCGCAGTACCGTAACAACAAAAGGGCCCCCCCACTCCCTCAGCCATCGAGTCTCGACGACTTAACTCCTGAGGCGTCTGCGGCCCTCGCCTTGGTTCCCAGAGGCCCCCAGGGGTATTTCGAGGCCCCCTGCGGGGCTTCGGTCTCTGCACTTGCCGCGTCAGCCCCAAAGGGTCCCATGAATGGGCACGGTGAGCCCAGGTGTCTCTAGCTTCATGCATCTGTCTGGACCACTTACCTGCTGCTCTCTTGCGGCTCCCAGTCCAGTCACGAACGTGGGGGCCACCACCACCCCGCGTTCCTCTCAGACCCTCCCCCCCACAGGAGGCACCCTCCTCATTCCCATGTGCTGTCGCGGGGGTTCTGCGTCTTCCCCCATGTGCCTCTGCGAGGTCTCAGATCCGCTCCGAGGTGCTCCAATAGACTACGGAGCTTCCAAAGCAGTCCCCCAAGAGGCCTCCCAACAGAACTCATGAGGCTCCCAAGACAGCCTCAAGAAGGGCTCCAGAGCGTTAGCGTCGTCGTCGACGCCGCCGCCTTTGTTGTCGTCGCCACCCTTCAGGTTCGACGGCACAGACTGCAAGGCCTTCCCAATAATAGATTGGATCTCCGTCCGCCCCTTGACGAAGGACGAAAGGAAACCACTCGATCCTTGAAGTAGGAAGGCGCCTAAAGCAGACTGCAATACGACAGATAGACAGCAGCCAGGCGCTGAACAGCGCAAAGGCAGACAAATGCAGCACAGTGCAGGGTTCAAGACGCACTGGCGTGCACTGCAACGCTGTGACACATCAACCAGGAGGGATGGGGGAGGAGGACGAGGAAGAGGAAGGACCTCCGCAAGCCTAGCGCTGTGGCAAAGATTACAAACCATTAGGAATCGGTCCACTCCTTCGCACTCGATCCCCGACCTCTGCCCTCCAGATCGTAGTGACCCGTGGGCATGAGGAAATCCCAGCCTCGCAGAGGCCCAAAAAGAGTGAGAACGTATCAAACACTCCGATCCACGACTGGATGCCTCTCAGGTGGGGTCCTTGTAGATGGGGTTGGGAGATCGCACCGCTTCGGCGATGCATCGACGATGCATCGACGAAGCATCGGCGACGTCGGTGATACATCGTCGCCGTCGGCATGGTGAAGATCGGGCGATGCATCGGCGATGCGTCACGATCCTCCGACCCCATCTGGGAGGCCTAGATCCACGATGTTCAAAAGATCGTTCTGAGCGGCAGCGATCGTGGGGGAACTGGCACAGAGGGGGGGACATCGACCTGGAATCGGCGATGCATCGACGAGAAGTCAGCGATGGGCCCTCGATCGTGAATCCGCACGCTCCTGGACTGGGTGGGGCGATCAGCGGGCGACTGGGTCGATTGGGGTCTCGGGGGCGGCCAAGAAGGGGGCGTCCAAGGGGCGGGGGCGCAAATCGTGGCCAGCGGCACGTGCGCGGCCCAGGGGGGGGGGGGGGGGGCGGGGAACGCAATGAAGTGAGAGGAGGCGGCATGGGATCTGCTGAAACTGCATGGCCCACGCCATGGTATCCTACCCCCCCTGGTCATCACCCTCCTCTTTGCCGCCCCCGACTCTCGTTGCCCCTGCTGTCCCCTCCTCTCGGCTTCGGGCCTGGGGAAGCAAGGCCGGGCGCCTCGGGAGCCCTCCTCCGAGCCCCCTGACCAGTGTGCTCTGAGCCCTGCAAGGGGCCAAGGACACACAGATAGATGCACACACAAAGCCCAGGGCTCTCGCCCTACTTGTCCATGCGTGTTCTGGAGCTTCGTCTTTCCCCCTCGTCCCCCTCCATTTCCCAAATGTTGCCATATACTTTTCTGGGAATCGACGAAAACGTGTGTCTGCGTGATTTCGTTCCCTCCCGAGCCTCTCCGAAGGCAGAGGGGGGCGCTATATGGGGGAGAAACGTGCACACTTCGTGCCCCCTTTTGGGCCCCAGGGGGCCCCTCTAGGGCCCCCTTTCGGGCACAAAGGGTGCACCTTCCTTCGCCCCCACACACGTATCGCCCCCCTCATGACGAAACGCCCTGACAGAGACGGCCTCTCAGAAGGCCGGGGGGCTTGGGAGCAGCTCGGCCGCCTTCTGAGAAGGCATGTCCCCTTTCGGGGAAACCAAAATGCACCGATACCGCTACTCCGCGAACATCTCCATGGACTCTGGATTTTGCGGCGAATCCAACCGCGGCGACGACGGCCTCCCAGGAGGCCCCCCAAAAAAGGAAGCACGAGGCAAGGGCCCAATCCCTCCTCTGAGCCCCTCTCACCTCCCCCCTTGGGGTCGCCGCCGATCCTCAAAGGTTGAACCCACCTCTTGCGGTGCGTGCTGGCCAGGGGATTGTCACAAGCTTCGCCACCCAGGGGCCCCAAGACGGTGCAACGACAGACCGTGCGGCGAGCCCGAAATCCCCAAAGGCCTCACTGCACGGTCCGACACCACGCACCGTGTTGGGGCATTGAAGACCCCAATCGCCCGAGACGTCCTCGGAGAACAACCCACATCCCGAAACCGTGCGGTCACCCCGAATCCCCACCGCAGCCCGTCCCCATCCCAGGTGGTTTTCGGGCCATGACTCGGAGCTCTGGCGGCCGTTCGGGACGATCCCAGCACCCCGAGGACGCTCTCGGCGAGGCGCAGCCGCTGGAAGGCATCCCCGGGCGGAAAGCCGCAGGGGGCCGACGAACAGGTCAAAAACATCGACCCATCGAACCCTCCTGAGCCTATCGCCTATCACCCTCGAGCATCGAACCTCGAACCTCGAACCCTCCTGGCCACCAGACGGTGCGGTCACAGCACCATGTGGGGGCGCCCTCCAGCGTCGGAGCGCCTCCGGCCGCCGCAGCGACGGGCAGCCCCCCCGAGGCCTTGGAGCGCCGAAGGGCGCCCCAAGGGCGCACAGTCAGCCCGCAGAACAGGGGTGCGCGGCGGGGATGCCAGGCATGCAAGGTGATTTCGTCACGTGATGCGAAGTCTCCTCCCCTCCTCTCCTCTCCCCTCCTCCTCCTCCTCCTCCTCCTCCTCCTCCTCCTCCTCCTCCTCCTCCTCCTCCTCCTCCTCCGCCTCCGCCTCCGCCTCCTCCTCCTCCTCCTCCTCCTCCACCTGAGATCCGCATCACGTAACGAATCCTAATTGCCGACAAGGGCCTTGGAGGGCCACGTTCGCGTTTTTCGAACGAGGTTGGCCAGCGCAAGTCGCTAAGGATGGGCCGAAGGGGCAACGAAGCGAGGGTACCCTTGGGAAGGTTGTCCATCCTTACAATATATGTATGTACACACGAGTGTATGTATGCATGTATGTATATATATATATATATACAAGCGGGTTGAGTGTAGGCTTGGTTCAAGACTCTAAAGGGACCAACGAAGACGTCCGAAAACAGGCCAAGCAGCCGGATCGCGCTGGCGACCGCGCCGCCCTGGGAGGCCCGTCGTGCCCCCGCCGGCGGCTTGTGAGTGAGCGGGCGACTACCTACCGGACCACCCCAACCTAACCTGAAGGCCCGAATTTCGGGTAAGGGGGGTTCACGGGTTCCACGTGTGTTTTCTCAACGTTCCCCGACACCCCCCACTGGAAATCGAGGGTCAATTTGAACCTTCGGGTTGGGTCGGAGTGGTTTGGTGGGTGGTGAGCGAGGGCAGGGCGGCATCAATCTCGGGGGGACGTAAAGGTGGGGTAGGGCCAGAGGTGGGGTTAGAGGAAAATCGGCCCTGGTGGGGCGGCCGCCTTTCGTGTCCTTTTTGGGGCCCCGGGGGGCCCCTTTAGGGTACATTAGGTGCACCTTTCTTCACACACCTCGTTTTTCGCACCACCACTACGCCCAGGGACACAACAAAAAATAAAGACAACTCCCAGGATCCCCCATAGTTCCCGGTATTTTCTGGACATTCCTCCTCCCCTCCACTTCCCATAGTTTCCAATCCCTTCCTGGGAACCGACGATTATTTTTGTCTGTGTTTCTTGAGAGGAACAAGACATTGCACGAACATAATCTTTAAGCGCTCCGCACGGATTTCATGGATCTGCGCTGGACCCCCCGTGCCAAAGGTTTAGGTTTCTGGCGTTGCTTCTTAATCGACTCCTAGGAATCGACGATTCTTTGTGTCTATGCTTCTTGCTCCCCTCCCGTTGTTCGCTCGACGCCCGATAACACCGCCCCCCGCGACGGCGATGCCGGGCGCCCATGCAGGCGCCCAAGGCGCCGCCGGGGGGGGAGGCCCAGCGCGGATCCGAGAAATCCGCGCGGAGCGCCAAAACTTTCTGTTTATGTTAGATCGGGCATGTCCCCTTACAGGGCGATCTTCGAAGAATATATATATATATGGGTGTATATATATATATATATTCACTGCGTGGAACTGCCCATGTGTGCATCTATTCGCATGGACCTGTCCGCCGGGAGTCTAGGCGCAAGAGCTTTCGAATGTAAGCTGGCTTGAGTTGTGACGGTCTCGTCATGAATCTAACTTCGAACGGATTGGAGCGTGAATGAGTATCGGTAGTACGAGCGCGTCTCTGCGCAAGAGCCTGGGGCCTCTTGGGGCCTCCAGAAAACTCCTGGGCCTTCCTGGGGCCTCAAGGAGCCTCTTGGGGCCTCCTGGGACTTCGAGTGGCCTCCTGAGGCCTCCTGGAGCCTCGCGTAGCCTCCTGGAGCCTCCTGGGACCTCCTAGGGAGGATTCGTGCCCCAGGAGAAGCCCGAACTCAGACGTACATAAAACATTGCGGATTGGAGCCACAGGAGAAGGGCAGTCTATGGAGCACACGTAAAACACCAAGGACTCGTGCCCCAGGGGAGGCCCAATCTATAGGAACATACGTAAACCAGTTAGGATTGTATACGCAGGAGAAAGACAATACATAGAAACATAAGTATAACATCAAGGATGCGTTCTCCAAGTGAGGCCCAATCTATAGGAGCATACGTAAAACATATGGCATTGGAACAACCCCTGTTGCCTTCTGAGGCCTCCTGCTCCTGGGGCCTCTCGGGGCCTCCTGTTGCCTGAGCCTCCTGGGGCCTCCTGTGACTTCCTGAGGCCTCCTGGAGCTTCCTGGGGCCTCCTGGAGCCTCTTGGGACATCATGTGGCCTCTTGAATCTTCCTGTGGCCTCATGATGCCTCCTGGGACCTCATGTGGCCTCATGGGGCCTCGTGGAGCCTGCTGGAGCCTCCTGTGGCATCCTGGGGAGAATATGTGCCCAAGAGTCTGGCCACCAAAACAGGCACACCTAACGAGGCATCCTCAAATCTGGCCCCCCCCTGGGGAGCGAAAATGAGCGCCTCGCTCGAGGCATCCTCCAAATCTGCTCCGATAACGGAGGATGTTGGGGACCAAAACAAGCAAACCCCCTGAGACATCCCCGCCATTTGGGCGCGAACGGAGGCCGTGAGATACCCCTGGCGGCCACCCCTTAGGATTGCTAAACCCAGCAAACCGCTCGAGGCATCCTCATCATCTGCTCATCGCCATAATCATCATAATCAGCAGCTTCTTCTTCTTCTTCTTCTTCATCATCATCATCATCATCATCATCATAAGCAGCAGCAGCAGCATCACCATCATCAGCATCATCTTCATCATCATCAGCATCATCATCATCATCATCATCATCATCATCATCACCATCATGATCATGATCATGATCATGATCATGATCATGATCATCATCATCATCATCATCATCATCATCATCATCATCATCATCATCATCATCATCATCATCATCATCATCATCATCATCATCGTCGTACTCATCATCATACGCATCCATCATGCACCATCACCATCGTACTCACATCATACGCTCACCATACCATGGTCGTTATCTCATCATACCATGGTCATCATCATGGTATGGGTAGTCCGGCGCGGTCGGAGAATAACAAGAACCCCATCCTTTGGATATGGGGACAGATTAAGAAAATGACAATAAATGCACGGAACATCGTCCCCAGGCTATTTTTTTTTATTTCTAGATCTTTCTCCTGTGCAGGGACGTGCCCGACCCAATGTTTATGGCGTTTGTCTGTTATTCGATTGCTTGCCCCCCTCCCGACATCGACGCCCGACAGCACCGCGCCCCCCGCGACGGCGACGCTGGGCGCCTAGGCAGGCCTGCTCCTGGTCCAGCTCCTCGTTCAGGTACTGCGGGGGCGCGGGACGCGCGGCGAGGTCCCCGCCACGGCACCCCCACAAAAACAACCTTGAGATTAAGTCGAGCATGTCTCCCTCTACAGGAATAATGTTGAAACATAGTTTTTCAACAATGAGGAACATGTTTCGACTATGCTCAGACAATGCTTGAATATTGTTTGACAGTGTTTCATCTTCCATTTCAAAATCCGCCTGTAGAAGGACATGCCCGAGCTAACCTTGAGACGAGACCAGGACAAGGAGAAGGCTTCGGGTGAGGAGAAGCCGATAATCTCTGAGATCCGTCGGCTCTGAAGAATGTCTCGGGCGCCGCGGCCTTCTCAAGGCGTTCCAGAGCGCTCTGAGAGCGATCCGGAGCGCTCTGAACCCAGAACTTGCTCGACCAGCAGGAATTGGGGACCGAACGGCTGCTGCAGGGGACCGAAAAGCATACAACGTTGCTGACACATGTTTTCCAGATCGAAGACGTCGTTTTGGCCCCATTCGGTTTGTCTTCGCGGTGTTGGTTGTTATGCACCTGGCTCCCGTCGTAGTCGAAGTCGTAGTCGTCGTGGTCGTCGTCCATCGCTCGAAGCTTTCGGCCCTTTGTGGAGCCAGTTCTGGACGTTGGAGAGCGCCCCAGTGGCCACGGCTGGACTACTGACGAAGTTCTGGCCAGAACGCATCCCAAAAGGAGGTCGTAGGGGTCGTCGTCGTCCACGTCGTCCAGATAACGGCAAGAAGAATCCCACCAGCTCTCTGGGCGGAGTTGGTTCAGGGCGTTTCCTCTTCCATCGTCCCTCTTCCCCTTCGGGGAGGGCTTCAATCGGTGCTCCCAATAAACAAAACACCTCCTCCCCCACCCGACCGGCAGCCAACCTATGAGTGCACCCAGGCGCCCCTCACCCCACCGTTCCTGTCAAAATATTACCATGGCGGAAGACCCAACCAGACGCCAAGAGGCCTCCAAGACGCCGCGAGAGAACTCTGAGAATCTCCTAAGAGACATCCGAGGAGACCCCGAGAGGCATCCAAGAGGACCAAGCCTGCCTTTCTACTCGCTCTCATCCTCCTCCGTCTCCTCCTCCTCCTCCTCGTTTTCCTCCTCCTTCTTCTCCTCCTCATCCGCCCATTCCTCCTCCACCCTCCTCCAATCCGTTTCTTCCCCTCCTCCTCCGATTCCTCCTCCATCCTCCCACGCTTGTGGTATGACGGCTTCCCTAGTCCTTCATTCCACTGCATGCGCCTCCACACCCTTGATCAGGGCAACTTGCATGGGCTTCGTCTCTGGATGGGCTTGTGGGGTTGCGCGAAGTGTCTCGAATAGATAGAAGATCAGAGAGCTTGCGGATCTTGAGGGTGCAGAGTATCCCAATCCTCCCCCAACGGCTTTGGACTTACCAGCTTGACGGCCATTGGTATGTTCCCCAACTCAGCAGGAGCAGTTCCGCGCGAATCCTCCGCACACTGCGTCTGTTTTGACGTTTAGTTTGGAACCCCTTCGCCACCACCACCCCCGCCCTGGTCCTCCTCCTCTCTCCTGCTCCCCGTTGTTCCGGGTTCAAGACCTCTCCTGCTCTTCGGGACCAGTTCGGGCCTGGCCGTCGTCGTCGCTGCCGTTGTCGTCGCCTTCGCCGCCGCCGCCGTCGCCAGCATCGTCGCCGCCGCCGTCGTCGTGGTCGTCGTCGCCGTCGCCGCCGCCGCCGCCGTCGTCCGACCAAAACTGGCGCAGAATTGGCCCCTGGACCCCTCCCATGGGTGGGCCCCCCTCGGCCGGTTTCCCGAGCCGCGGTCCCGCGGTGGCCACGAGAATCTCCAGACGTACCCCAAGAAACGTCGAAGACGTCGAAGACATCTACGCCGAGGCCGTCACCGTCGTCGCCGTCGCCGCCGTCGACGCCGTGGCAAGCCATGGGGGCAAGCCTTCCCAGGCGTCCAGTGGACATATTTTCCAAAGTTCTCGACGCCTTCTCTGTGGTGTTTCGCCTCCCGTCCATCTGTGATGGCCCGAAAGCCCAACGCTGGGAACGAACAGAACACTCCGAGAGATCTGATGTCTTGGTTTCTGTCCTTTTCTCTCAAGACGGGGTCTCCAGAGGTTCCGAGACATCTCTCCCGGAGCCTTTTGTGTATCCTGAGCCGAAGCCTCTCTTTGACTGTCCTGGGGCCTGGCGAGGACCCCCCTGGGCCGAAAACGAAGAAAAAACTGCCGCACTCTTCTGCTCAGCACGCTGGGCAAGTAGGAAAAACAGAAAATACCCATACTGCTACTCCCGGGACCTCTCCTGGGGTGCGCTCTGACCAGAATTTCCAGGATAATCCAGCCGTGGCGACGAGGACCTCCCAGGAAGCCCACAAAAGCAAAAACCAGGCAAGGGTAGCGGTATCGTCTCTGAGCAGTCGTCTAGTCTAGGGGAACAAGCAATGACGTAAACATAACAATTCAGAGACCCGCGCGGATTTCTCTAATCGAAGCTGGATGCACCTCCCTGGTGCGCGGAGCGCGCCATGGGCGGCGCCAGAAGCGCCGCCAGATGGCCCGAGTACCGATCCGAGAACTCCGCGCAGACCTTAGAGTTTTTATGTAAATGTCATTGTTTGTTCCCCGATGGTCAGGACGCTGAAGGTACGGGATGCGCCCCAAATCATCGGGGATCCACTGACCCCAGGTCAATGCAGACCCGGGCTCGCCAGGCATAGCAAAATCCTGCAATGTCCGGCAAAGTCACGCAGGAGCCCGCAGGATCCTGCACCCAAGCCCGGGCCAGTGCACCCCTGGCGGTGCAGGATCACGCAAGATTTTTTGTCTCTCCTACACAGCACCAGCAGAGCAGCTCCCGCCGACACAGTGGCATCCTCACCGTGCCCGTGAGGTGGACCCCGAGGCCCTGCCAGAACAGTCTCCCGTACCCGCGTGCCGGCCACGCTCGACACTTGCGAAACACTGCTGGTGGCGAAATGTCACGCGCGACGTCAACTTTAAACCAAGATCTGGTGCAGGATCTGGTGCCCACCTCGGGCCCCCAAAAAGGCCCCGTTTGGGGGCCCTCGAAGGCCCCGTGAAGAGCCCCAGAGGGGCCCCCCTTCTCTGCAGACCTCGCTCCCCCCCCCCCATGTATCGCCCCCCCCCCCCCCCCCCAATCGCCGTCTTCTAGAAGGAGGCTGTTTCTCAAAAGGCGCCGGCCCTTTATCTACAGATAAGGCCCGCGCCCTTCTAAGGAGCAGGGGTGCTTCTGAGCAGCCCTCCGCCCCCCCTCCCCCTCCCCCCTTTCCGCTCATGGTCTATCTTCGTTGGGGACATGACAACCCACCCCCATCCCCGCCAGATGCGGTCGGACCTACAGTCGGACTCGATCGGACAGGTCACGCGAGAGGACACAAGACCCTTCTGAGGGCCACATTGCCACAGGAATGTAGGAAACATGGGTCGCGAGGCGCAAGACACAAGGGTACCCTTGATTTGGCAGGGGCGACCTACTTCTTATCTGGGCCGACTGTAGGACAGCAGAACCTCCTCCGAGAACACGAGACCCTGCGCCGGCCCACACTGAAGGGCCTTCGAGGGTCGAAGGTGGCCTCCCCCAGGAGGCACGAGAACATCTAACAAGCAAGCCAAACTTGAGGGTCCCCTCCCCCAGCCGACCTCGACCTTCCACCTCGGTCCGGCGTTTGTATGGACGCCCGAAATGGGAACAGAAAGAATGGGTACAATGCCCAACCACAAGTGTTGTCCCAAACCAACAGCGGAAGCTGTTGGGCAGGCGGCCTTTTGTCTCAGGTGGACACAGGCCGCGGCGGCGAGGACAGCGAGTCCGGTTCAAAATGAGCAGGAACTGCTGTTGGGCATTGTACCCATTTTTTCCGCACCATTCCGTCTGTGCAGACAATCGACCTCGACCTTCCACCTCGGTCCGGCTTCCGGGATGCGCCCCAGGTCTTATGCGGTGAGCCGCGGGCCTGCCTGGCGTGCTGGCAGGGCGCAGTGGGGCGTGAGGCTGGCGGCCTGCGCCCTCCCAGCCCCCCCCCCCCGCAGCCCCTCCGCGGACTTTGTCGTGCCGTCTCTTCCTCGGGGACACCACAACCCACCCCCACACCCGCCAGGCCTCCTCCTCCTCCTCCTCCTCCTCCTCCTCCTCCTCCTCCTCCTCCTCCTCCTCCTCCTCCCCCTACTCCTCCACTTCCCCCTCCCCCTCCTCCCCCTCCCCCTCCCCCTCCTCCCCCTCCTGCCTTCCCCCCCCCAGCCCCTCTTGGCGGCGCGCGGAGGGGGGCAGGGGGAGGGGGGAAATCTTCTTCGAAGGGGGCTGTTTCTTAGAAGGCGCCGGCCCTACATCTACAGATCAGGCGCGCGCCTTCTAAGAAGCAGGGGTGCTGAAGCATTCCGCCCTCCCCTACGCCCCTCTGCGCGTGGCCGCTACTCGTTGAAGACATCACATCCCGTCCCCCACCCCACCCCAGCCAGGACCCCCACTCCTGACCCGGTGATCTGGGGGGTCCTGGCTGGAAATGAGGGTGGTTGTGGCACCCACGGAAGCACGGAAGCACGCCCGCACATGGGCACCGTCCATGGTGCTGCGGGTGCGGCGCCGGAGCGCCCGAGCGTCAGAAAGCGAGGCCTGATCAGATGTCCCCCAAGAACCCTTCAAAATACCCCCACCGCGAGCCAGGACCCGCTGGATCACCATATCGGTGGTGGGGACCCTGGCAGAGGTGGGGGTGGGTTGGGCTGTCTTCAAACTCGTCGTCTATTCTATGACCACCACCACCAAGACCGGGAAACAATGATTTCTCATCGTCCGCGCACTCCTTGCTCTGCTGCTACCATCTCTGTCTACTACCGGAAAAAAATAATTGATAAAGAGACGGCAAAAGAGGAGGAGGAGGAGGAGGAGGAAGAGAAGGAGGAGGAGGAGGAAAAGGACGACGACGACGACGACGACGACGACGACGACGACGACGACGACGACGACGACGACGACGACGACGACGACGACGACGACGACGACGACGACGACGACGACGACGACGACGACGACGACGACGACGACGACGACGACGACGACGACGACGACGACGACGACGACGACGACGACGACGACGACGACGACGACGACGACGACGACGACGACGACGACGACTACGGTTGCACCACCGATTCTCAAACAGCGCTTGCCCTACGCCGCGCAGACACCGTCTGGGGACCACGCAGCACCGCGATTCCCCAAAGAGTGCTTGCACTGACGTGGATCCCTGTTTGGGGTTCCATCAGTCGCCCTGTTTTTCTGTTTCTCAGGGCTCTCGTTGGGACAGTCACCTTCGCGATCTGCCCAGGCCTAAAACCCGATGTGGTGCAGCTTTGCTTTGGTGGAAACAGCGCCGCCCCTCTCCCGCCGCCATCGGCAACCAGACTGCCCACTCCCTCCTGAGGACCGAGACCGAATTAATGAAACCACGCGCGGTCGTGGTGCATATAAATTTGGCTACAAAGAGGAACAATTTCTACACACTGCCACCAACAAGCGCTACTTCTGCTTCAGGACCTCCCCTATACTACCACGGCGCCCCGGCGCCACGCTGTTCTCTGGATCGCCGCGGGATCGCAGCCTCGTCTGGCATGACCCTGCTGCCAGACATCTTTGCCATGACTTCTTCTGCGGGCGGTGGTGGTGTACAAGATGAACCTGGCACGACCCCAAATTGGGAGGGAATGTCCTATTGCATGGGCGAAGAATTTGGCATTGCTTGGCATTGTTCCCCGGGCCCGGAGAAACTCCTCTGAACGGGCAACGTAACGCTAGGAGGCACTGGGAGCGGGAAGCTCAGGGAAACCGGGGAACCCAAAGAACCTCCGAGCAACGGGTAAAGTACCCCCCCGAGGCACCAACCTTTAACCAACTAAGATCGCCTTAGGCAAGCTAATGCAAGGAAAATGGGCCTCGATGCCGAACATCCAATGTCGTCCAAAACCCAGAGTAACCGCTGTTGGGCAGGCGGCCTTCTGGCTCAAATGAGCCATGATCAAAAACGGCTCTTACGCGATATGACACAGCGACCACACCTTACGGGGTGGCTTACGCGGGCAGCCAGCGAGGCCTTATGCAACCTTAAGGCACTTATGCGCAACCTTAAGCCGGCAGCTTGCGCGCCAATGTCGGCGCGGACGACCTGTTTTTTTTTCTGCGTTGCTCACATGGGCAACGTCCGCGCAGACGCATACAGCGAATCCGGTTCAACATGGACCGGAAATGCTGTCTGTCTTAGTGCCATCCTTCCCGTACAGTCGGCCCGTATCATAAGGATGAGGGATAAGGATGCAACGGCCTTGGACGCCCAATTCAAAGCGTTTCGAGCCGGGCGCGGACAACGAAAATGGCCCAGGGGGGGACCGAGGAGGCAAGGATGCAAGGGTACCCTTGGGAAGGTTGCCCATCCTTACTGTGCGGGTTGCCTGTACTAATTCCGATCGTCCCGACACGGGGTCCTCTCGGCTGGTAAAGAAGTGCCGGCAGCGCGCGAGCGCGCGAGCGCCCGAGCGCGGCCGCGCGCGCCTTCTTCAGGTCCCTGGCCGAAACGCCACGCCTCCAGACGCTGCGCTTGATCTGCTCCTGCCGGGCGCGTCTGCCGCGAAGATGTCTGGGCTCCGCCCAGACCTTGCCCAGCCTGCCCTGACCAGCCACAAACTGAGCCAAAGGCGAAGACGAAACGACGACGACGACGACGACGACGACGACTTCGGCGGCGGGGGCGACGACGACGACGACGAGGGACGGGCGCTCAGAAACTGAGGGGATCCTCAAGATCGGCAACGAGGTAAGCTGATGCCAAAAATAGAGATAGGGAGATGGTACATGAGGTGTTTCAAGCTGTCAGTGCCCTCCCGCGCCTCCCGTCGGAAGCGACCCTGGGGCTTTCGAGACAAGGGGCGGGCCTTCTCAGAAGGCTCGGAAGGCCTCCAGCCTTCTGAGACGTTAACGCCGCAATCTTCCCCGAAGACGCGGCAAAAGCTTCCCAGAAGGCCGGAGGGCCTCTGAGAAGTCCCTCCGCCTTCTGAGAGGGCCTTCTCCCTCCAGCTTCCCCCCCCCGGGCGCGCCGCCGGTCCTGGGGCGAAGGCCACCCGAGCCACCCCCCGCACCCCCCACGCCACACATGGGCAGCTTCTCTCTGGGGCGCGTTGCCCGAAGGCCGCCGTCGACTGCTCGTGCCCAGGGCGAGGCACCCGGCAAGGGCACAAAAAAGAAGCCGCCCGGCGGCGGGCGAGCACCGTGGTATCACAAACCACAGCACGTGTTTACATGTCACATGAGCATCCAAACCTCCGAAACGCAAAGGCGCGCGCGAGATCCCCTGGAGCATGGCTCGAGCTGCGTCTTCGCACACATGCAGCGGCACGTTCTCAGAGGGCGACATCAGCAACACGCGAAATCGGCTTATCCATAAAAAAAGGCATTAGGCTATTGTTGCTTGCCCTAGTGGGTGTGGGGGTGGGTTGTTGTCTCTTGGTATGGGTCGTCGTCGTTAATCTTCTCCAACACGGCCTTCGAACCTTCCGCCTTTCCCTCCCTCTCCTTCCGTCCCTCCCTCATCCTCTCCTCCTCCTTGACTCAACCTCTCCCTCCTCCTCCCCCCACCTCCTCCTGCTCCTCCTGTCCGCCTCCTCCTCCTCCTACTCCTCCTCCTCCTCCTCGTCCTCCTCCCCTGCCTCGTCGCCCCCCTCCCCTACTACCTCCCCCTGCTTGAGGATCGACTGCACCGGCTTCGCGGCACGTCGCTGGCCAGACCTCTGGAGGCCTCCCGACACGTCCTCCTTGTCCTCAAATGAGCACCCGACGAAACCAGTGGATGGCGGGAGCAGGGCCGAAGGGGGGAGGGCGACGAGCGGGAAGGAGCAGCGGGGGCCCGCTCCCTTCGTGACGAACCTCTCCCGTCCCCTCCTGGCGGCGAGCGCGGGGGGGGAGTGAGAGGGAGAAGGCCTTCTCAAAAGCGGCGGGACTTCTCAGAAGCCCTCCGCCCTTCTGAGAAGTTTACTACTGCGTCTTCGGGGAAGGCAGAGAGGGAAGTCAGAGTGAGAAGGCCTTCTCAAAAGCTTCGAGACTTCTCAGAAGCCCTCTGGCCTCCTGAGAAGCTTTCTGCGTCTTCGGGGAAGGCAGAGAAAACTTCTTAGAATGGCCGGGGGACTTCCGAGCCTTCTGAGGAGGCCCGCCCCATCTCACTTGAACCCCGGGCTGGCCGCCGACCCCATCCCCCGCCTGAGCAGTGTAAAGGTTATTTGCCATTCCCTGCCTTACAGCCTCGCTTCCGTGCAGCCGAGCAGGAGTCACAAAAACGCAGCGGGGGCATGGACACGAACAAGCCCACCCGTCACTGTGTCAGCTGGCCCTTCTGGGGGCACCTGGCTGTAAGGTTCATTGCTGGACGTCTGCTTTTCTTGTGGATATTGAATCTTCTGTTGTTCTCTCTGTCTCTGCCTCTCTGTCTCTCTCTCTCCCTCTCTTTCTCTCATAATACTTCCGTTCGCTTCTCTCGCTCTCTCTCTCTCTCTCTCTCTCTCTTTCACTCTCTCTCTCTCTGTATAAATGTATATATGTATATATATATGTAAATATATATAGATCTAGATCTAGATCTAGATCTTCCTACTATTGTGTCAGTCTCTTGCCTCTCCAGTCCGACGCGTCTACTGGGGGGGGCTCAAGATGTTGACATGCGGCGAGGGGGGAGGGGGAATAGCGGTGGAAAATGGGAAAGCTGCCCTCAGGCCTGACCGCCCCTCTCCCCGATCCCAACCCCTCCCATCCCCTCTCATACCCCTCTCTCCTCAGCAGAAGGGCGACGCAGAACGGACGATATCTAACATGAGGTCGGGCATGTCCTCCTACAGCGCGAATTCTGGAAGGGATCCGGAACACAAACAAATAGTCAAAATGGTTTGAACAGCACGAACAATCGTCACCATATTATGCTCCACTATTATTGAGTACTCATCATGTACAGGGACATGTCCGACTCAAACCTAGGAAGAGGAGTGCACATCTCCTGCTTCGGCAAGGCCTCGAACCTCTTTTTCTCCTCGTGCGTCTGCAGGGCGTCCTTGGCCTTGACCTGGGCACACTCGCGAAGGCGCGCGCGCGCGCACGCAAGGGGGGGGGATACGCAAAGAGTGCCCCTAACCATTTGGCATGGTACCTCAATTGGGAAGGCCAGGAACATTAGGGATGGGGGGTCTTTTTCTGCGGGTGTGTCAGACCAAACCGCCCAGATGTATGATCCCGAATGCGAGGACGGGGACCTAAATGAGGCCACGTCTTCATCGTGTTATCCGATAAGGGGGGCTCAGCGAGCGCAGCTGGGACCCAAACCCCGTGGCGTCGCGAAACAAAGGCGGCGGACACTGTGTCGTCATCGTCGGCCTCGACGGGGAGCCCCCCGGAGGCCCCGCAACCGAGACAAAGAAACAGCACCACGTGGCGTGGCTTTGCCCCTCCTCTGCAGCCACCGGCCCCAGTGCTGGCCTCGCCGAACACATGGGCGGTCGCAGCCCAGGCGTTAGGTGTCAAGAAATCCACCCCCATGATAACCACCCCGACGCGGAAAGTCGTTTAGTCAACGCGCCCAAAGAAGAAGGAATCGAACAGGGCAGGGGCGGTTTAGCAAAGGCCCGAGGCTGTTTAGCAAGCGCCAAGTATCGGGTCCAGGCGGTTTTTCCTCCCTTCATGCGCACAACGACGCACGCGCTGCCCACAACCCGGGCTGCCCACCCTTGGCTTGCGTGTGCAGGGCCGCGAGGCAGGGCTGAACCTAAACGGTGTTTTTCGTTTTTTCGTTTTGCCTTCGTGTTCCCTCGCTTGTCTTCACTCCGCCTCCACTTGGGCGCCCGAATTATCCGGGGTAACTCGGGTCCGGGGTAACTCGGGTCCGGGGTAACTCGGGTTTGGATCTCCGGAAAAGGAACCCGAATTGGCCCTGACCCGAGTTACCCCTGATGATTCGGGGCTCTGGACGCCCGAGTTATCCGGGGTAACTCGGGTCCGGGGTAACTCGGGTTTGGATTCCCGAACAAAGGAAGCCGACTTGGCCCTGACCCGAGTTACCCCCGATGATTCGGAGCCCTGATCCACCGCAGAGCGCCGTCGAAGCGAAAACAGCCCCCGAAGTCGCCAACACGCCGCTCTGGCCCAGCCCTGCCGCGAGTTGAGGGATGAAAAAACGGCCCTACCCTGGATTACAAGTGCTCCTGGGAACCCGGAAAAGCCTAGAGAGCCGCCAGGACGCGGCACGCCACGCAGGGCCACCCTGTCAGCCCAGCGGAGCTTCAGCGCACAGCGCCTCGTAAACTAGGGTAGGGGCGTGTGTTATGCCCCCTGCCGCGAGGGGGCTGCGGCCCGCGGGGAGGCCGGCGCGCAGGCCCCGGGGCGGGGCGGGGCGGAGGAGGGCGGGCGGGGTGGAGGCCGCCCTCCCGCCGGCGGCATAGGGCGTGCGCGCCTCGGGGGCGCCGAGGCCCGAGAGGGATGGGGGCAGGTGCCGCACGGTGCACGGGAGAGCTTTGCAGTCCCGAAACGGTGCGGTGACAGATCGTGCGGTGACCTCGAAGTCCCGAGTCCCAAAACCGTGCGGTGACCCCAAATCCCCAACAACTCACCGCACGGCGTGGTCACCACCCCGTTTGGGGGCCCCTGAGAGCGCGCGCGGAGCACAGTGGAGGGGCACCGGGACACACAAACAGATAGGCACAAGTGACAGGAGTCCCCATCTTTCCCCATGGTTTCTAGGTTTTCGTCTTCCCCCCCCCCCCACTTCCCACCTTTTCCCACCTTGGATGGGGAATCGACCTGGGTGGGGGAACCGCATGCGAACGGCGCCACGGGGGCCTTCGGTGGGGCTCCCTATGGGGCCACGAAGCGCTGCCCTGGGTGGGGGAACCGCATGCGAGAGCAGCCACTGGGGCCTTCGGTGGAGTTCCCTATGGGGCCACGAAACAGGAGAGCGCGCGCGGAGCACAGGAGGGGGGGCACCGGGACACACGAGTAGATGGACACAAGCGGCAGGATTCCCCATATTGCCCCCCTAGTTTCTAGGTTTTCGTCTTCCCCCCCCCACCTCCGAACATTTTCCCACCTCCCATGGGGACTCGACGGAGGATTGTGCCTGTGTGTGTGTTCTGTCCCTCCTGACACAGAAAGGGTCCTCGCGAGAGAGCCACTGGAGAGAAGCCCGCCGTGGGCGCCCACGTGGCGCGCGCGGGGATGGCCGAGGCCCACGGATCGAGGGCGCGCGGGAAGGCAGGCGGAACGCGTGCCCTCGCAAGGGGCGGTGGAGGAGCCGCCAGCGGACGCCCGAAGCTGAGGCGCACCTGTGCGGTGCTCGCTGCTCCTGCGCGCCCCGCCCCTCTGTGCACCAGGTCATCCTTGCACTCTCACAAGCGGAGGAGGAGGAGGAGGACAGGAGGAGAAGGAGGAGGAGGAGGAGGAGGAGGAGGAAGAGGAGGAGGGGGAGGAGGAGGAGGAGGAGGAGGAGGAGGAGGAGGAGGAGGGAGCCGCTGCGTCAGCTTGCACTCTCACGGGCGGCGACCACACCCTCACGCAGGCCCCCGCGGGCTGGCTTCCGGGGCGGCACGGAGATGCGCTCCGCGGGGGGGCACCGGCCAGAAGCCGCGCCCCGTGCCATCGGGGCCGCAGCCCTGGGGCCCTGCCCGCGATGTGGTGGACACGGCCCTGCTTTCTCGGGGGGGGGGGGGGGGGGGGCGAAAGTGAAGGGGCCCTGGGACACACACATAAATACACACAAGTAAAAGAATTCCCCTATATTTTCCCATATTGTCTGGGTTTCTGTCTTCCCCCCCACTTCCCATATTTTCCCATGTTTTCTGGGAATCGCCGATGAATTGTGTCTGTGTGTTTCTTTCCCTCCTGGGGAATCGCCGATTAATTGGGGGGCCGGGGGGGGGACCAAACACGAGCGCACAAGACGCTACTGCCGCATCGCGTTCGACAATCGGGGGCCCCATTGGTCCCGCACCAAAGGCCACTCCGGCGAAAGGTCACTCTTACGTCTAGTCGATTTCTCGGGGGGGGTGCGAAATGGGTAGGACAGCAGAGGGCAGGGCAGAGACTCAGATCACGCAGCAGGCTTTCAGGGACGCCTCTTGGGGGGAACGAAAGGGGGGCATAGCGGACGGTAGGGTAGAGAATCAGCTCACGTAGCTGATTTTCCCAGCGCCCACCGGCGCCGGGAGGCGAGGCGCCCATGTATCGAGGACTGGGCCCGGCAGCGGGGCCGAAACCAACCGCATGCAGCAGCTTTCGTAACCCCCCCTTTCCCTATCCCCCCCTGTCGTTCGGCCCGAGCCTCCTGGCGCTGGGAGGCGCCCATGCATCGAGAAATGGGCCGGGCGGCGGGGCCGAAACCAGCTGCATGCCCAATTCGCGCAGGGGCCGACCGTCCCGGCATCCCTACAGGCCTACCACGACGTGTTCTGAGAACCCCCAAATGCTCCAAGAACAAAACGTGCCATCATAACACAAGCCCGACGTGTCAACACAAGGTGGGCTCAGCCATGCACGGTCCGAGAACACCTCGCGCAGACCACAAAAGGCCCTTAGAACATGCTCTGGTGGGCCTGTGAGGCAAGCCAGGTCCCTGCCCAGTCTGCCCTGGACTCCCCGACCCTGCAGGAGGAGGAGGAGGAGGAGGAGGAGGAGGAAGTGGAGGAGGAGGAGGAGGGGGAAGAGGAAGAGGAGGAGGGGAGAAGGATGAGGAGGAGGTGGAGGAGGAAGAGGGGAGTCTGGCGCGGACCCGAGGCAGCCCGCGCGGGCCTCCAACGCAACCTGTGCTCTTGTGCCGTCGCGCCAATGCCTCGAGCGTCCCTCAGGATGAGGGTCGTGGCGGAGGCATTCAGTGACGAACGAACAACACACACCCATACCCATTAAGGGGGTCGTTGGGAGGAGGACTGGCTATGGGTATGGGTGCGGGTTGTCGGACCCTAGGGAACGCTCCCGTTCGAGCGGGGACCCCCATCCGACAACGCGCACCCATAGCCCTCTCCGACCCCCCTATGGGTATGGGTGTGTGTGTGTGTGCGTGTGTGTGTGTGTGTGTGTGTGTATGTGTTGTTGGCTCGTCATTCAGAGCCCAGAGATCCGACGCTCCGACACAAAGACGGAGCGGCAAATGTTGGCCGTCTTCAGCCTCCAGGGGCCCTCGCCGGGCCTCGGGACCGTCGTCAAGCACGTTTTTCAGGATGCAGAACTGCAGGGAAATGGTCCAGACCTCCGGGGCCCACGCATCAACAAAATTGAAGCAGCTGGAAGTCTCGGAAGGAGGGCGGCAAACCCAGTTCCATCGGGTTTCGGCCTGGCCGCGGAAGATGAAGGCAAAAAAGACATACTCGCACCCTTGCTGAGCTGAGCTGAGCTGGGAGCCGGGAGCCAGGAGGCTGTCCCCCAAAGGGCCCATGGGCCTTTTCGGGGACAGGTTGAAAGAGCTCATGCAGTAGGAGCTCGACCACAATAACCGTTTCACAAGAAACCCAACCCTGAGACCCCAGGACGTCCATTCATTCTTGGTGTGGGAACGTCACGCTTCCCATGGCAAAAGCACCGAAACCCAGGAAACCCGAGGCACACTGGGGGCAAGCAGGGTTCTTGGTATGGACTTCCACTGCGTGCACAAAAGGGCACATCGGCTGGTCCCTGGGCATCGGGCCCCACCACTGTACCATGTCGCCTCAGGGTGCGAATTGTTGCCCCCCTGTACGAGTAATGCAACTTTCGTCGCAGTCGTCGACGATCGAAGTTTAACGGGCCTTCTGGAGCGATTCGGGGCGTGTGCGAGGGTTCCAGTGGACCCTCGCGGGCAACAGGAGTTGCATTACTCTGTCCGGTGAGGGTGTGTTTGGCACGACTTGACATGGCTTGGTGTCGACGATGAGGTCGTCTCCCAGCGAACACTTCGGCGATCGGCGTTCTGAGACATGTGGCCCCTGGACCTCAGCACTCCTCACAGGGGACGGCTTCTGGCCCCAGGCCGACTTGTGATTGCCACAAGACCCGAAACTGGCCTCTGGATGGATCTTCTATTCTTGTCACAGCGACTAACGGTAAATCCTCTGACATGACGATCGCAGTGGAACGAGTAGAAGGATGTGGGATGAAAGGCGAGTACCTTTTCCAGTCAGCGTGCGCTCGGCTTGGCCTTGAGCCAAAAAACCAAAGCGTGCGCAGCTCAGCGTGAGCAAACGTCCGTCGCAACGATTTTTTCTAAGACGTCTGGGGTCTGCGAAGGCTGGAGACACGCTGGCCCGAAGAAACTCGGACCCAGGTCAGCCGAGGCCACGTAGTCAGCCTGGGCCGCCTTCAGCTCTCAAACCCGGGTGATCAGTCCGCGAGGGACGGCGGGCAGTGGCAACAGGCACTGTGGCTGCAACGGGGGTCGTGCAAGCCCCATTTTCGCTTCGCAGGGATCAGCTTATGCGTGAACGTTTGCAGGTCTTCAGCTTTACTGCAGAGTCAAGTTCGCGCGCGAGGCAGTTCGTCAGCTTTCGCCTGACCGCCAGGACAGGCAGATGTAGAGGGTTAGCTCTGGCTTGAATCAAGGAAAGCGTCGCGACCTACCCCTACATCACGATATATCCTTCTTCTCCCCCTTTCTTTTCGCCCTCCTCAATCCTCCTCAATCCCCCCCACCCCTCAACATTATGATCCTCGTCCTCCTCTAACTCCTCCTACTCCTCCTCCTCCTGCTCTTTTCCCCCGTCCTCCCTCCTGCGGCTCCTCCTCCATTTCGTTTCCACCCTCTCCCCTCTCCTCCCCACCCCCCCTGCATGCTCATCCTCGGCCACCTCCTTCTCCCTGCCCCCTCCTCCCTCCTAGTCATCACCCGTCGCCAGTCCTTGCCCCCGCCACGTCGCCCCCTTTCCCTGCTTCTGGGCCTCCGAAGACTGCGCCTTCTGCGACTTCAGCTTGGTAAGCTTCTCGGTGGAAAACGCTTGCGGCGCGGCAGAGCCGGCTCGCAAGAACTTCTTCATGCCCTGCCGTGATTGGCTCGCTGTCTGGCTCGCCGTAGTGCTCGCCTCTCGGGACAAGATCGGGAGGGGACTGGAGGAAAGACGGGTGCTAGGCCCCCTCGCCTCCATCCCACCCGCCCCCGCCCCATCTCCTCAATCCTCACTCGTCCTTCCCCTCCTCCTCCCCCTCCTCCTCTTCCTCCTCCTCCTCTTCCTCCTCCTCCTCTTCCTCCTCCTCGGCCGCCTCCTCCTCCTCTTCCTCCTCCTCCTCCTCCTCCTCCTCCTCGTCCCCTCCCCCTCCCCCATCCCCCTCTCCTCCTCCCTCTCCTCCCTCCTCCTCTCCTCCTCCTCCTCCTCCTCCTCCTCTCCTCCTCCTCCTCCTCCTCCTCCTCCTCCTCCTCCTCCTCCCCTCCTCCCTCCTCCTCTCCTCCTCCTCCTCTCCTCCTCCTCCTCCTCCTCCTCCCTCCTCCTCCTCCTCCTCCTCCTCCTCTCCTCCTCCTCCTCCTCCTCCTCCTCCCTCTCTCCTCCTCCTCCTCTCCTCCTCCTCCTCCCTCCTCCTCTCCTCCTCCTCCTCCTCTCTCTCCCCCTCCTCTCTCCTCCTCCTCCTCCTCCTCCTCCTCTCCTCCTCCTCCCCCTCCTCCTCCTCTCCTCCCTCCTCCCTCCTCCTCCTCCCTCCTCCCTCCTCCCTCCTCTCCTCCTCCTCCTCTCCTCCTCCTCCTCCTCCTCCTCCCTCCTCCTCCCCCCCTCCTCCTCCTCCTCCCTCCTCACCTCCTCCTCCTCCTCCTCCTCCTCCTCCTCCTCCTCCTCCTCCTCCTCTTCCTCTTACTACTAGTCTTCTTATGAGTCGAACTGGTATTACTCTTATTATTGATGTTAATAGTAGTGCTCCCCTTCCTCTTCCTCATCCTCCGCCTCATCCTCCCCCTCATTCGCCTCCGTATCCGCAACCGCCTCCGCCTCCGCCGCCTCCTCCTCCTCCTCCTCCTCCTCCTCCTCCTCCTCCCTCCTCCATCGTACTCCTCCTCCTCCTCCTCCTCCTCCCTCCTCCTCCTCCTCCTCCTCCTCGTCCACCTCCTTCTCCTCCTCCTCCGCCTCCGCCTCCGCCTCCGCCTCCGCCTCCGCCACCGCCACCTCCGCCTCCTCCTCCTGCAAAACCCCGAAGAGGGTTCTGCACGGGAGCCTGGCAACAATGATAATGATAGGTCACCTTTATACTCCCGAACGGCAAAGCAGGTCTAAGTAGCTTCAGCCGTTAAACACTTGAGCCAAAGGCAATAGGGTTGCTATTCCTCCCCTGTCACCTGAACGCTTGCATGTTAACACCCCCCTCGGACGCCAGTCCGCATTGGCTGACGGGGAGGTGCCTATAAACGCAAAGACAGGTTGAATCAAGCAACAGGCTGCGCATACATCGCTACGTTGCCGAATTCGAAATATCTCGTAACAACGTTCACGAACACCACGTCTCTCAGACATGCAACATGAGCTCAAGTAAACATTCAAGCAGTTACGAGTTTAAATGTAGCATCCAAAGTTCACACGGCAGGCTAGCATTTATATGATTTTGATTGTTTTCGCTTTTTATGCGCCAATACCTGCGGTAACTATAAAAGATGCACATGCACACAGATTCAGCTCAATAAGCCACTGCAACGCGATTGTTAAGCCGGGCTGAGAGGGGAGATGAGGGATAGCGTAAAAGAAAAGCATGCCAGTCACCTGTCACCGTTTACGAGCGGCGCGGGCGCCTCGCTGACGGAGCGCGTGCGCCCCTGGACCTCGGTAAACCACGATGCCCCACGCTGGCCGCCGTGTAGGGCGACACCCTGTTAAGGGCCTGCATCTGGCTGTAATAGTCGGTGTCCAAGTACGCGTTAATGCGCTCCTCGTCGTCGAGCCAGCACCCCTCGTCAAAGCTCTTGATGGACCCGTCAACAATGTTGTGGTAAGTGCCGATGGCCCTCCAGTAACTGGCGTGGGGAGCCTTCAACAGAGGTTTACCACCTGGATTGTTACGGAGGTGCTCTTCGACCGCAACTCCGGTAAATGGGTTCACAGTCCAGGCCGGGTCGGTAAGCCAGTTGGGGAAGTCGTCGCACGGCAACCATCCAAACCAGCAGAGCTTCTCGCGGTGGTCACTTTTACGCTCGGTGATGTGATCAGCCGGCCAGTTGTCACGGTAAAGTGCCCTCATGGACCCCTGATCGTTAAGAGCGACGTCTAAGATGGTCTGGTGCCAGTAAACTGGAGGCTTGTTGATGCTGCCCTTTAACTCCTCGGCGCTCCTGACCTCGAGGTCCTCGATGAAGTAGTTGCGGTAATACACCTGGAGCCCGTTCATGTAACGGCAATAGAGCTTGGCAAGGTCATGCGTCGCAAACCGGATCACGGTAACCCCAGTTGAGATGTAACCGTGCGGCCCGTAAGTGTCTTCCACCAAGTGCTTAACGGAGACCACGGTGGGGTTGCCGTGGGGCAGCATCCCTGCCCACGTTAGGAGAAGGCCGTTAAGCTGCTTCTCATTCATTTCTGGTACCTTGTTGACGTAAACCCGTGTATCTGGGCAGCTGTGAACGTCGAACCACACTGGGTGGAGATCGTCAACGTGGATTGGCGGCACGTACTCGTCGTCGAACAGGGATTGTACGTGTCCGACCGCGTCAACCCACTCGTCGTGCTTGGCCAACTCTTTCTCCGTCAACTGCGATATCCAGCTGCACGGGCCCTTCAACACTGAATAGCCGAGGAAGCCGTAAGAGTGCTGCCCGTAAATGTCGACGAACACTTCATCGAACTCGTTAAGTTCCCGCCCCGTGTTGCCATGAATAGATCGACCACCAGGAGTCGTCAACCCCGCTTTCGCCACATGTCCGACGAAGTTGTCTTCGAACCTGCGCCAGTTGTCGCGCGTCTTCATCGTTAACGCGACTACTTCCCTGGGGTCGGGCTCCACCTTGTAGTTGACGTCGTGGTCCTCGCACCTGTCGTTCACCATAGGCATGTGGCCGTTGACGTGGCACAGTGGGCGGTGCACGGCCCTGGCAACATTCCGCGAGTATGCCGCAAGCTGCTCGTCCGTACGGTTAACAGCTTGAGGCTGCGGTGGAGGGACGCGCTGGGTCGATAACTTCTTGGGCACTGGGGGCGGGGGATTCATGCCGCTAACACTGCTCGATGCACTTGACTCGCCAAGGCCTGGAGGAGGCGGCTTGGGCGTCCTCACGTTCACCACCGGGGCAGGACCTTTTGGTGCTTCGTCACGTTGACTGCTCTGCGCACGGTCTTCATCCATCTTCATGCCGATCTGCAGTAACTCTTCCAGTTCCCGTTTACGCTCATGCATGGCCTTGGGTGCTTTCTTGTAAACAGGTTGAGGTGCCGTTGACTGCGGGATCTTATTCGGCGACACGGATCGACCGAACCCTCCGGTCTTGGGCGTGGTACCGGTAAAGCCCTGAGCCGGGGGTGCACTCGAGGCCGCGGCAGCTCGGGCCAGAGGCTTGCTAGCCTCGGCCGCCGCGTTGACTGCAGTGGGAGGCGCCTTGGCGGCCACTGCCGTTGGGGGCAGCTCGGGTAACGGCGGAGGCACCTGCGGGATGATGGTAACCGAAGAACTGATCGGGTCATTCAAGAACCTCTGTAATCCTTCGAGTCTCTCGGTAACTCCCACCAACATGCGTAGTGCCGCATCTCGTTTGCCCTCGAAGTCCTGCAGGGGCGTGATGTTCTCGGTAAGGCGTTTGGCGGTGTTCAGGAGGTAACCAATGTTGTCGTTGATGCGCCTGTACTTGGTTGCATTCTCCGCCGTGTTAACCCCCGAGTCACGATTCTGGATGTTCAGCTCCGTAATTGTCGCCATCAGAGCGTTAATTTCTGCTTGCGCCCTCTGGAGATTCTCGTTGACGTCGTCACTGGCCTGGATCAACCCATCGTTCTGCCGCGTTAAGTCCTCGATCCTCTTCGCCATGTCATCAGCGGCCCTTTGCACCTCGTCAACGTGTTTGTCGTAGGCTCCGTGAAAGTTAATCGCCATGTTAGCGAGGGTCACGGTAAACGCGCGAGCAACGTGGGCGATGTCGTCAACACGGCGGTTGAGGTTCTCACGCGTAACCGGTCCATCCCCAGCCGGGCTCTGGTCGACCATGGAGCCGTTGATGGTGAGGTTGACCTGGGGAGCCGCCATGCCTTCGTTCACGCCCAAGAGTAAGAGGTAATGGGTGGAGAAGACTTTTAATCGCTGCAGCTTGCTTGACAGAAATGAGCTGCGAATATCAACATTCTGTAGCTGGCGCAAGACCATGCCTACCTGTTAATGCACATTGACACGTGTTTCGTAGGTGTGCGCTCATGCTTTCACGACTGACATACTTGGTTAATGCATCAGCTGTGTTCTCATGTGTCCCTACTTTCACAATACGAAGTACTCCTTCCTTTACCTTCTGCTGTAACCACAGTTGACACACTTCAATATGTCTCACTTTCCCCAAGCCTCGTCTGCTCGCAATGGCAATCGCAGCCGTGGCGTCACTCTTCATGGTGATGTCAACTTCCAAGTTAAAGTCTCTCAGTACTGCCTGAAGTCCTAGACCCACTGATCCTCCTTTCACTAGCCCATAATATTCTGCTTCCCTTGACGATAATGCGATCACGCTTTGAGTCGTGCTCCAAGATTTTATAAGATGTTTATCCCACATTACTACTCCTCCACTCGTAGACTTCCTGGTTCGCTTACATCCTGCGTAATCCGTGTCGGTCCAAATCGTTAATTCTCGGGGCTGTTCCTGATATTGGTACACATAGCTGCTTCTGCTGCGGTACTTCAAATACTTTCCTAACTTGACCAAACCCTTCCAAGACCTCATCGTTGGCTTTGACATGGTCCTAGCTAGTTCCTTTACAGAATACTGTATGTCTGACCTGTCCTGAGCTAAGTAATTCGCTCTGGCCGTCAACGCTTGATATCTCTTAGTCATGTTGGGCGAAAGTTCCACCTCATCTCCCTCTTCAACTGGAGTGCGCTCACCGGGCACTTCAGTCCTCACTTTTACTCCCTCTAGCTCAAGCTC